AGGGAGGGAGGGAGAGGGAGAGGGAGAGGGAGAGGGAGAGAGAGACAGAGAGGGAGAGAGAGAGAGAGAGAGCCCTGGTTTCTTCCTCCTTTTATAAGGGCACTGATTCCCATCATGAGGGCTCCACCCTTATGACCTCACCTAAACCTAATCACCTCCTAAAGGCTGTGCCTCCAAATGCCATCACATTGGGGGTTAGGGATTTCAACACATAAATTTGGGGTTGGGGGGTACATAAGCATTCAGTCTGTAACATTATGCCGAACTGAATTCCTTACCCTCACAGTTCACCTGAGTTGTAGAATTAATTACCCAGGTCTTGCCCACCACCGAAATCCCTAACACTAATACTCATTGATAAAATCTCTTATCCTTCCGCCCCTCCTAAATCTTTTCCTCCTCCTACATATACGTTTTATCACCTCTATTTTCTTCCGGTTTGTTGACTGTTTTTTGGCTTAACTTTTCCCCCTTGGCAGCCTAGATGAGTTGTCCACAGACTTTATAATTTGCTCAATAATTTCCCTCATTTTATTACTTCCCGTCTTTCTACCCCTCTGCTTTGCCCTTCCACCCTGGACCAATCCAGGTTGCCTGCCTTTTCCACGATGACACTCAAGCTGTAGAACATGACAGTGAGGAGTGTCACAGTCAATTCAGAGTGTCCGACATGGGCGCACATGCGTGTTGCCTGGCCACCGCTTTCCAGCTCCTCGTCACAGGCTTTTATTTTCCTCAGCAATTGTGCCCCACATCTGTCCTTTCTCAGCCTTTTCATCTCCACCTCTTCCTCTAGGTAGATGACCTTGTTTCCCACTTCACAAAGAAAATAGAGATTTGCAGATTCAACACTATGTGTATAAAATGATTCTAGTACTCATTCCAACATGGGAAGGGGTGTGTTCCACGTTGTTCGAAACAATTCTCTGACACCAGCTTGGTGTCCTACAATTCAACTCAATTCTGACACTATCTACCTGGAGATGGCATCAGATCCCACAACTTAAGGTCTCAGTCCTACAAGACTGTCCCCCACCCTACCTCTGATGCCAATCACAAGCCCAGGTTATCACCTCTGCTTCTGACAGAGCAGCTATAGAGTAGAGGTTCCAACAACCTCACCTTTGAGTTCAATTAATTTGCAAGAGCTGCTCACAGAACTCAGGGGAACATTTCACTTACTACATTACCATTTTATTATAAAAGAGCATAACTTAGGTACTGCCAGATGGAAAGGATGTATAGGGAAAGGTATGGGGAAAGGGCCTGGAGCTTCACTGCCCTGTCCAGGTGGGCCACTACCCCAAATTTCTACCTCTTCATCAACCCAGAAGCTCTCCGAACCCTGTGCTTTGTGTTTTTATGGAGGCTTCATTACAAAGACATGGCTGATGAAATCATTGGCCATTGATGATTGATTCAATTTCCAGCCCCTCTACTCTCCCCAGAGGTCAGGGGGACGGGACTAAAAGTCCCAAACCTCTAATCACGTGGTTGATTTCTCCTGGCAACTAGACCCTATCCTCAGGTGTGATCCAAAAGTCATCATTAGCATAACAAAAGACACCTTGATGGCGCTCCACTCATAGGAAATTCCAAGGATTTTAGGAGCTCTGTGCCAGAAACCCTGAGGAAGACCAAAATATTTCTTATTAGAAATCACAATATCACAGTGCTATAATTCAGATAAATTACATTAATAAATGAATATAAAATTATTAAAACAACACAAATCTTGCCTTCTAGTACGAGAAACATTTACTGAGTACTCTATGCTAACATTCACTGCTCTAAGCACTTGACACCTATTCATTCACTCCATCTTTATAAGCACCCTATAAGGAAGGCGACTATACTATTCTTATCCTCATTGCACAGATCAAGAAATGGGAACACTAAGGGGCTGATTCATTTGTTTGAGGTGACGACAACTATAAGTGGATGAACTGAAATTCAAACCCAGGCAGCCCCTTATCCAGTATCATGTGGCTAAGAAGTTTCCAGATTATTTTAAGGCTACTCTTTTTTTTTTTTTAGGGTACTTTTTTAATAACCTCAAAATCAAGACAAATTGAAAAACCAGCTTCCAAGAAACATAAGCAACCCCTGAGGAGGTGGCAGCAGGCAGCCCAAGAAGGACAATTCACAATTTTTCTCCTGCTCCACAATACCCATCTATATCACACCATAAATCAGCTAGAAACAGGTCCCCACCAATTTGGCCCCTCCCACTGTGGATCACACCCAATGAGCAGCCTAGAAGCATGGAAAGATTGATAGATGCGCTAGTACTGAAAGCTCACAGAACAGCTTTTCTCCAATGACATTATCAATCTTGTGCTGATACAATGCAGTGTAACTGCCTGAAAAATGTCACTTCCCAGCAGGACCTACATAGAGATTTTCAATTTACAGAATCTTGAGGAACAAGGAACTTACACTTTCTTGGCCCCTATCACCATATTCCACATTTTTTTCAGCCTCCTTTCTAAGCACTTGTTTGCAAGAGCTGTATATTTCACCTTCAACTAAGGTGGGTCTCACAGCTAAGAATTTTTCTCTACTCCTCTCCCTCCATACTTTTGGTTGATTTTGTGTTTTCTCCCACAGGCTCTGGCTGATAAAATTGGCATTGGCTGCTCTCTGGTTCGAGGGGAGTATGGCAGAGCTTGGAATGAAGTCAAGCTGATGAATGAATCTCAAAAGGGAGTGACTGGGGTTCTCCCCCCTCCTGAAGTATACATCGTTGACCTCATGTTCCAACCAGGTAGACTGATCAAGATAAGAAGTAGAGAAGCAGATCTTTACCGATTTCTCTAAACTATCAAATGAACACAAAAGAAGTTCAAACAAGAAATTTATTCTATACCTTTTCAATGAAGGTCACCCATTAATTTTTTCTTTAAATAAAAGTATTAGAAATGTTTTCTCTATGTCAAAATGAGGACACTTGGGTTGACTTGGTTGTGCTTCTCACATCAGTCTTTCGGCAAAAGTTTGGTCTGATTAGATCATATTATGTGATAAGATGGGGGGATTGTAAAGGTGGCACTAAATCTTCTATTTTTAGATTTGGACCTCTGGTGTAATTCGATTTAACAAGTGTAATTTAGCTTGGAGCTTTTTGAAAGCTTTCTTTGTCCCCTTTCTGCCAAAATTTAATGACTCTGTTTACTGAGCATACCATTTTTGATGTTTCTATTTTCTTTGGCCTTGCATGCCTGGTCCATGACTTAGGAGGGGTTTTTGTATCTGTATCCTGACTTCAACTTAAATTTATATAACATATGCAAAGGTTGTGATAACCAGTTTAAACTGCACCTTCCCCCACTCCAATGACAAAGGTGAACACAATAGAAGATTCCACTACAGGCTGAAGCAATTTACATCCTGATTAGGGGCAGTAGTCTTCAGCAGACTCTGCCCAGCTGACGCTCCTCTTTAATAAATCTTCCTTCTGCATTTCTACCTGGCTTGTGAATTCTTTCACAACCCGTGAGCGAGCAAGCGAGGAGCCACAACATTATGTTGATTTTTCCTCATGAAAAGCTTATTATTGTCAAAATTAATCCACCCCACTGTTTACTAAGGAGCCTCTCTGCCCTTTGGGAATCTTGTGTAAAACCACCTAGCTGGTGTTTCCAGATAATTCCATGACCTTATGATTGTCATTCTTCATGGCCAGAATACTTCAGGAAAAACATGGTTAAAGAAATTCAATGGTTTTTAATGTCTTCAGTCACCTTTTCTCAATTATCAGTAGTTTGAATATTTATAGATCTATTTTAGTATTACAGATTCCAAAAAATACTTGTTCACATTTTAAAAAACTTATTAAGAACACTGTTTTACTTCACTGAACTATAAATATTTCTAAAAACTATTTCTATAAACTGTATTTGTCCTGTCTATATTGACTTGGAAATATACCTTCAGTTAAAAACAATTGTTTTGCATTTACACATTTTAATGCTGGGTAACAAAAATATTATTTTAAATTTATGTAACTTAAAAATTCCTTTCTGGGAAATTTTGAAATATAAAAATAGAATAAATCTGGGCCAGCCGAGTGGTGCGTTGGTTAAGAGCTGGCTTAGGATGCCAGAGGGCCCCGGTTTGGATCCCACACATGAGGGCCAGTGACACTGCACTGCCCTCTACAGCTAAGATGCTGAACAACAGCTCAACCTGGAGCTGGGCTGCAGTGAGCCGCCAGCGACGGCGCAGGCTGCAGCCCCTGCTGCAGTGGGTTGCCATGGGCTAC